TCATTTCAAAAATCCCTGCCAGAATCAGTGGCTCTTTGAGTGGCAGGCCCCAGCCTGACCCCCACTCCAGGGTGTCCGTTCTCTGCCCGGGGCTGACCAGCAAGCAAGGAGCTGCCCCCGTTAGGACCCTTTGCAATGACTTTGATTTTACTGTGGTAAATAAATAGCAGTAAATCATCTTATGTCCTTTCTGATGAAGGTTGAAGGGTTCCCTGGATGCCCGTTGGTTGTTAAGGTGAGGTCGTTCAGGACCTGTTCTGTTTCCTGTTTTTAAACCACCGTGCAGGGCATCGCTCAGATTAACCTGGCCGACTACGACGGTTCGGGCGAGATGCAGCTGCGCTGGTACTCCGTCCAGGTATTCACCGGCCCCGAGCCGCCCCGGCGGGAGGAGGAGCGGCCAGGAGATGGCGCCTCCCGGGACCCCGCGCCCACCGCCTCGGGGAAGACGGTACGTGGCTCGGCTTTGAGACTGCCTCTTCCTGGGGACATCGTTTCTAGGAGACATCTGTGTAGACTTCATCTGAGAATACAGTGGCAATGAAGAAGCAGGGCTTCATTGAAATGAATGAATTGAAATTTCATTCAATGAAAATGAAACGTAGTGGTGTACGTGATCATTTATGATCGTGTTTTTAAACGAGTAGTGTTCACAATCTTGAGTGACACTTTGGTTGCTTTAACATTTGAGTCCTCAGAGCTCCATGAAAAGGCCAAGTTGCTGTCTGGCTGTCACCAGTGGGATGAGCTGAGGACGGCCTCCGGCCTGTCAGCAGGGATGCTCACCGTGGGCCGTGCTCAGCGCCTGCTCTTCACTGGGCCGCCAGAAACTGTTGGTCCAGGCTGGTTCTCAGTGGTGTCCCTTCTGTCCTGCAGGATGCGGTGACAGTGTTGCTGGCTAGAACCACAGCCCAGCTGCAGGCAGTGGAGAGGGAGCTGGCCGAGGAGCGAGTCAAGCTGGAGTACACAGAGGAGGAGATCCTGGAGATGGAGCGGAAGGAGGAGCAGACCGAGGCTGTGTCCGAGCGGTGAGAGCCGGCCTGGGATGGGACTGGCCTGTGGTGTGTCACTTAGCCTCTGTAGAATGTGCTGGAGCCTTTGCCCAGAAGTTGGGATTCTCATGGGGAATTGTATGCAGGTCTGGACTTGGGCAGTACTTTGACCCTAGCTCCACATGTAGGCTTTTCACCTTCCCTCCTGTTTCCGGATTTCTCTCAAAGAGGGGAATGCTGACTGACTCCGCTCGGCCCAGATTGAATACAACAGGGCCCTTTAAGTTTTGGTTTTGGTTTTTAACTGCTTTATTTAATATCATCTCTGTACCGTACAACTCACCCATTTGAGTGGACAATTTGATGGTTTTTAGTGCAGGCACAGACTTGTAGCACTGTCCGCACACCCGATTTTAGGGCATTTTCATCATGCTGGAGAGAAACGCCACACGTGTTAGCCGTCAGCCCGTTCCCCCTTGCCCCGGCCGCTGGCCACCGCTCAGCTTCCCGCTGTCTCCGTGGATTGGCCTGTTCTGGGCGTTTCCTCCAAGTGGAATCACGCGAGGCCCCTTTACGTTTTCCCCGAAGCAGGCTGTGGGTGAACCTTCAGTGGGTGCAGACCCATCTGTGGTTGCAGGAAGAGCTCCGATGAGCAGGCACCTCAAGTGATTGCTCTCCGTTGGGTCCTTTCTGGAGCCACTTCCATATTGCTTTTCGTCTGTGTTTTTCCATGAAGAGCAGCCTGTTTCCAAAGCTTGCTGCTTCCTTCTAATAGGTTTCTCTGGATTTCTTTTCAAAGAAATTTATTTTCGGGGGGGAAAGTGCATGGTGGAGGGGAGGGTGTGTGTTCAGGGGTTCAGGGATGGGCAGGAAGCTGGGAGGGGTGGGGGCAGGGTTCTGGGATCCTGGCATCTTCAGCTGCTGAAATTGGGTGGGACAGACAGACAGACACTCTTAATGAAAGGCCTTATAGTACCATTTTCCCTAGAAAACATAAATGCCTTTCACTTTATGAGAAAAATCAACAGTCTACAGTCACTGAAAGCAAACATTGGGCATCTCTGCTGCTGTGTTCTGAATGCAGCAGTGACCTCAGTCCCTTGATGAACGTTTTGGAGCTTTTTGCTCTCTCCACCTTCAGGAGTTGGCAAGCCGACTCGGTGGATAGTGGCTGCAGCAGCTGTGCCCAGACCAGCCCCCCACACCCAGAGCCCTGCTGCATTGGCGTCGACTCCATCCACAGACAGATGTTTGCGGGCCAGGCGGATCCTTACAGCCCCGAGAAACTTCGGCCCCCAACTCTTAAGGTAAGGAGAAAAGGTCAAGGGATTTGACGGAGCCCCTGAGGGTTTGCCTCCCATACTGGGCACTGCCCTGGCAGGAGGGGTGTGTGCCCCATGTGAGGGAATTGGTGGAGGAGGTGGGCAGAAAGAAACCGAAGCAAGCAGGCTTGTGCGCAGGCACAGGACGGCATGGCATCCGGCAGTATTTGACTGAGAGCCGAGGAAAAGCAGTGCGTGGTCTAAGATCTATAAACAGCTTAAAGTGTGCCCAGCGGGTACCCTGGAAATGTCTGGCAAATGTAAATTAAAAGGAAGGGACAACTACAGCTAAAAAGGGTGCTTTCTTGTCATTTACCTGCCTTCTGGTGATGACTGATTCCCATCTTCAGGGCCACACATCATGACTCAGGGTGTTTCCTGGGTGCCTAAGGGTTTGGACTTTGTAGTTTTGCTCCCTTGTGACATTAAGAACAGCGAAGCAAGGGCAAAGGTGTAGCTCAGTGGTAAAGCGCATGCTTAGCATGCACAAGGTCCTGGGTTCAATCCCCAGTACCTCCATTAAATAAATAAATAAGTAAACCTAATTACCTCCCCCCAAAACGAAAAACAACAACAAAAAAGAATATTCAAAGAATGGCAAAGCAGCCTTTTGGCCCTTCTGTTCGCCTGATCTTAGTGGTGCCCGTCGCCATCATCTCCAGTGACGGAATCTTTGTTTCCAAACTAGCTCATAACAAATGAAGAAATAGAGTCCCTCCCTTGGCATCTTTCTAGGTAGATTAAACAAATATTTTTTTGAAGATATATAAAGACTTTCCACATTTGAGGAAATAAATAGACATACAAATATAAGAAGCTTGACAACTACAAGTAGGATAAACTCGGAGTGACCCACGCCGAGACACACTGTAATCAGACTCACCAAAGATAATGGTGTAACACTGAAAGCAGCAAGAGACAAGTACACACTCGTGTGTACAAAAGTTAAAGAAAATTAAAATATTGTCTCTACTATCAATAACTGTATGATGCAATGAGCAGATCAGTTATATGCATTAAATCCAAAGAACAATTTCAAAGAAAGATGAAAACAATAGGTAACAATATAGGTATTGACTGTAATATGTAAATACGGAATTCAGGATAAATTACCAAGGGAAAATCATCATGCAGAAAATCTGAATAATGTGGAGCATGGAAAGAAAAAGAATGTATTCTAAAATGGCATAGAGTGGGCACAAAGCAAATACAAAACCCAGCATCAGTATACTTCAATAAAAATGTATATTTAAGAATTTAAAAAAAACCCACATTGTAAACTGACTATACTTCAATAAAAATATATATTTAAGAGTTAAAAAAAATTTTTTTGAAGAAAAAACCCAGGATCAGCAGAAAGTTTTAAAGAGGCACCGTCAAGACTGGGTAGAGGAGGCAATAAAAAGATTGAGCCCAAACTATGTGGAAGAGTGGAGATAAAAGTAGATCTTTATGGCTAATAGAAGCTCTAAAAATTAGGATTAAGTGCCTAGATTTGCACTGATGGGTCAGAAAAGAGGCGTGGCATCTTAAAGTGGTGACCTAAGGAAAAGGTGTTTACAGAATCAACCTGGGGATGAAATGAAAAATAAACTAAGATGGGTGGAGAATAAACACAGTTTACACAAAAAGTTCCCACAGTGATCCACAGCAGAATACATTAAAGACACACTGAAACCTGTGGATACAATGATGTCTGTTTATTTACGTGACAGCATATAACCTTTTTCTGATTTGAGGATACTCTGCAGATGTTATACAGCTGAATTTTTCAGTGTTTTCTTAAAAATAATGACTGTCTTATAACCACAGTAGTCACCATCAGAAAATTAACATCAGTATTATCAAATCTAGAGACATATTTAAATTTAACCAATTATATCACAGATGTTCTTTAAAGAAACAAAAATAATTTTTCTTATAAAGATTCCAGTCAAGTTTGGTGCTTTCTCTTCATTCTTCTGGGACATTTCCTCCATCTTTGTCTTTTATGACCTTGACATCTTTGACAAATTCCGGTCCGTTATTTTGTGCAGTGTCCCTCCCTGTGGGTTAGTGTGATTTTTCCTTATTAGATTTAGGTTGTGTTTTTGGCAGAAACAACTAGATGATATTGTGAACATGTTCTACTGCTAATTAAGTCGTCTTTATTCTTGTTGTTAAAATGACGCCTGTCACGTTTCTTTACAGCAAAATTAATATTTGTCCCTTGTAGTTAATAAATGAGTACCTTGTAGGGAGTTGTTCCATCTTGATTTTTTTAGTTTTCTTGTAAGTTTGGAATCACAGATTCTTTTGTCCTCTATATTGTAATCTAACACTCTCATTTAGTTTGATACTAATTTTATGCTTTAAAAAGAAAACATGAAATTGTGAATTCTAGTCTTTGGTAAAAATCCTGAAGCAGCCCCAATAAACCAGGTCTCTAGAGATAAAATAGTTTATAGATCTAAAAATCAAAATATTATCTTATGCCATAATGAGGGGAAAAGTCCGTAAATTTTGGCATATGATATCAGGTTAGGAATCCTATACTTAGGCTAACGTTGAGACTGGGAAAACAGAATGTCATGATTAAACCTAAGAGTTATCAGTAGGGTAACTTGGGTTCATTCACATAAATCAAAAGGGACTAAAAGTGACCAATATTTTGACTTTTAGATCTTTAAGCTGTTTTCTCTCTAGAGACAGTTGTTTGGTGAGAATGCTGATTTATTGCTTGCATTCTAGAAAAAGTCATGGTAACAAACGAATTGCTATCTAGGTTGATAAGGAAACCAACACAGAAGATCTCTTCCCAGAAGAAGTAGCAAGTCTTCCGAAGGAGAGGCCCGGCCGCCGGGCCCGCGGCTCGCCCTTCGTCCGCAGCAGCACGATCGTCCGTTCCCAGACCTTCTCGCCTGGAGCACGAAGCCAGTATGTTTGCAGAGTAAGTTGAAGTTCCTTTGCCACTTGTCTAGCAGCTTTCTTTATTTCTTTTAGATTGTGTTTTATTTTTCACTTCTTTATGCCAAAAGGCATATCTGTTCTCACAAATAATACCAATCAGCGAGCACCGTGCATGTGTGGGCATGAAATTGGTGTTGGTTTCCTCACCCTGCTGCCCTGTGCAAATCTAAGTCTGGATTTCTTCAGGATCCTGGTGTGTCCCCCCAGATTCGTAGTGCTGGGTGTGCACAAGCTCCCGGTCAGGAAGCAGGGCGAATCATTGCTCCATCAGTCTGAGGAGTAACAGATGGAAACAGGGACTGTCCTGCCTAGGGTTGAGATCAGGAAGGCAGTTCACTGAGTGGTTAGGAGCTTTGAAGTAGAGCTGTATCGGGGGTCCCAGGAAGGTCACAGCCCTGAAGACTCAGGGTGCCAAGGCAGGAGGTCTGACCCCCCACTTGTAGATTTGCACCCTGTGGGCGGTAGTGGGAGACGCTGGATGGTTCTCAACCTTGGCTTCACCTTGCAAACCAGTCATGTTAGGGGAGTTTCACAAAATGTTTGTGCCTGGGTTCCACCCCCAGGAGTCCTCAGGAGCACGGGTGGGGAGGGGCCGGTAGCAGAGGTTTGGGAAGCTCCCTGTGGTTCTGATGTGCACACAGGGTTGAGGATGCTGGGATAGGTAGTGCGGGAGACCCCACGTGCTGCGGCACATAAAGCAGGACAGCACGTTGGAGGTTGGCTGACCGTGGCTGTGGGACAGTGACTGCACGGACTAGGAGAGGAAAGCATCGTGGAGGATGAGTGGTCACGAGGCAGCGGCCTGGAGAGGGCGTCGGGGTTGAGGAGGGCTGTGACCTTCCCCTCCTCTGAGCCGGGCCTGTTGGAGAAGCACCTTCCCTTCAAGGGGCTGCTGGGGAGCTGCTCCTTTAGGGCAAAGCCAGGGTCGGATCGTAGGAGAGAAACAGACCCTCAGACCTGCCCAGGAGACTGGGAGTGCGGCTAAGGGCTCCCCAGGCCCACTCTCAGCCTCCGAAATTTGCTGGGACTCCATGAACTCAGAGAAGCCCAGCCGGGGAGCGCACCGGAGCCTCGGTGTGCGGTGAGGGGGAGGGAGGGTGTGCGGTGGGGGTTGGTCTGCTCATCTGGTTTGTTTTCATTTTACCTGAAACTCCTGTATAGGTTGTATTTTAACTGAAACCCAGAGTCTTGGTAAAAGCTCTTAAAGTCAGAAGTGTGCTTGAGTACCTTGGATGAGAAACAAAATCATCTAATGCAGAGTACACAAAGAATGAATGTTGAATTCCTGAGAGTGTCTCTGAACCTCAGTCTTTTTGGTGCAGCTTTATCGTAGTGACAGCGACAGTTCAACGCTGCCCCGGAAGTGCCCCTTTGTCCGGAACACTTTGGAAAGACGAACCCTTCGCTATAAGCAGGTATGTGCCATGTAGATTAATACGCAGTCTATACATACCCTGGGAGTTATTTCTACAAACCTGAAAAGGTACTGTTTTAGGTAATATTAATTAAAAGGTAATATGTTTATTTCCTTGTTTATGTAGAATAATTTTTTTAAAGCGTATGTAATATCAACATGTTACCACTATTTCTTAATTTCCTAAGATAATCTCATGAACTTAGATAATATATGATCTTTACATTTTAAAATATAAGAAATTGATAAACAGTCACCCATTCTGTATAAGAGAATCTTTTTTCTTTCTGACAGGGGAATATATGTACAGCTTAGAAAATTTGAGTCTTCCAGCATAGAGCACTCTTCTACATAGGACTGTTCTATGGTTTTCGTTTCCTTTATACACCAAGTTTTTTCTCCCCATCACTCCAGTTTACAATTTTGTTACTTTTAGTTTGTGAGCTAGTAGTTCCCTGTCTTTCCCTGGCAAAGACTCTTAAAGAAAAAAATTCCCAGATTTCCTTGTGGTGGTTGTATTGAGAGTAACCCTTGACTGAGAATTAAAAAACACATAATTTAGCTACAAAAATATATCTCAACGGCAGGGCCATTGGCACTTTGGACTAGATCATTATCTGTTGTGGGGGACATCCTGTGCACGGTGGGATGTTGAACTGCATCCTGACATTGACCCACTAGTTGCCAGTAGCCTCCCTCCCCTAGTTATGACAACTAAAAATGTCCCCACACATTGCCAGGTGTCCCCTGAGGGGCCAAGTCACCCCTGGTTGAGAACCATTGAGCTCTGCTGTGAGTGCTTTTAAATGAATTTATGTTTATTAAGTCACTTATATTTGCATTTAACGTCTGTATATGTGTAAAATAGTGTTATGTGTGTATGAAAAGCATAAGAGTTATTCAGGCCTCTGAACAGTACTGATGTGCTCGTGGATTTGTGATTTCGTTGCAGTAACTGCCTTCCCCAGGGTTGTTAGCCATGGGAGGGGCAGGACTGCTCTCAACACCATGTACGAAGTTCTTTTCTCATCTTAGGACTTTCTTGAACACAGCACATTTGCTATTTGAGGCTTATATGGAAGAGGAACATTTTTGACAGCTTGTGTGTGTATTTCTGGGTGCATGTGTACATGCATGGGTGTATGTGCATAAACACATCCATGTGTTTATAAACAAGAAGCCCTCATGTGGTTTATAGCATGCTTTTTTCCCCTTATACAGTAGATCATTAAGATTTTGCCACGTCAGTGTATTTTTTCACCTTTTTACAATGGCTGCATCTTACTGCCTTTGGAATGTTTTGATCAGTTTTCTCTTGTTAGATATTGAGGGATTTTTGGTCATAAATGTTTTGCACATCATCAGTTGTACTTTTCAAATGCAAGTCAAAATGAATTTCAGAGCTAAAGAAAACGCACCTGTTGTGGCTTTTGCTCTCTGTTGTCACATAGCACCTCTGCAAGCCGATGCCCGCCTATCCCATATGGGAAGGTCTGTTCTCCACACTGGTGCAAAAACAAGCCATTAAAGCAGACAGTTTGCAGGTACTGAACCAGAGGTTGCCACTCATGCCTGAATCAGGGTTGTGTCAGCATCCGGCCGAGGGTCATCTCCGTCCGGTCGCTGCTTCCCCGCTGTGGCTCCCGGGGAAGAAGCTGCTGGAAGGGCCGGATGCACACTCAAGTCCGCGGTCTCCAGCCCTGCAGGTCCTCCCTGGCGGCGCTGGGGGCCCGCACGTCCCTGGACCTGGAGCTGGACCTCCAGGCATCGCGGACGCGGCAGCGGCAGCTGAATGAGGAGCTGGGCGCCCTGCGCGAGCTGCGCCAGCGCCTGGAGGACGCCCAGCTGCGCGGCCACACCGACCTCCCGGCCTGGGTGCTGCGGGACGAGCGCTTCCGGAGCCTGCTGCGGGAGGCCGAGAGGCAGGTGAGGAGCCCTGCCCGGCCACCTCACTGCTCCCGGGCGTCTGGGCCAGCTCTGCTTGACCCATCAAGCCTCCCCATGGGGAGTCGGGTTCCCCTTCCTCCGGCCGGCGGCTGTTGTCCTCCGTGGTTCCAACATAGCTGTATGAGGGGCCTGGAGGGAGGGTCCCTGGGTCCCCCGTCTGCGAGCCGTGAGCCCAGAGGAGCTCCCAGGAGGATTCCTGTGGTAGCCTGCTGATCGGGCCGGCTTTTCTCCCCTTGGGGTCCCCAGAGCTGGAAGGGGCTGCACTCACTTTTCCTGAAAACTACAAGTCAAACCAGCTTGTCCATCCTCTGTTCCAGACAAGACAGACCAAACTTGACTTCCATCAAGAGCAGGCAGCCGAGAAGATGCTGAAGAAGGCCTCCAAAGGGGTGTGCCAGCTGCGCGGGCAGAACCTCAAGGAGCCCATCCAAGTGCAGACGTTCAGGTGGGCAGAAGCCCGGGCCTCACTTTCCCTCTGGCTCTTTACCCTCAAACCCTTGTCCTTATAAAAGTAAAGGCAGGACTGAAAACGACCCCCAGGAGAACAAAGCAGGACTCCCCGCTGCTGTTAGCTTTGGCAGGTTTTACTCAGCTTTTTTTTCTCTAAGCACTGTTCTTTTCATGTCACTTGTAAGGATAATATGGGTTGAACTCTGCACTTAGCTTTTAAAATTTTTTTAGTTTTTAAAAAAATGTTTTGAGTTTCATGGTTTTATTAACACAAATACAGTGTGCACACGAGCTGTCTGTTCGTTTTCTTTGCTGCACAGCCGGGCGCTGGGACTGGTGACTCTGGTGGCCAGCTGGGCTGCTCTCTCCACAATGGCTTTGCGGTTCTTGGAGGAGACGTTGTGAGCAATCTTACCACAGTGAGATTTGTTGCACATCAGCAGCACTTCGAGCTCCTTGACGTTGTGGACCAGGAACTTCGCTGGGCAGCGTGTGCTTTGTTTTCTTGTTGCTCCTGTAGCTGATGCTGGGCATCAGGATCTGGCCCTTGAACCTCCTGTGCACCCTGTTGTCAATGCCTCTGGGTTCCCGCCAGTTCCGCTTAATTTTGACATATTGGTCTGACTGGTGCCGGATGAACTTATTGGTCCCGTTTTTGACCATCTTGGGCTTCACAAGGGGTCTGAGGGCGGCCATGATGCCGACTAGGAGACCACGGCCACCTCCGTAGGTAGCACCAAGAAAGAGAGTTAGCTTTTTTTTTTAATTAAAATACCCCAGGCCGTCACATACTGTTGTCTTTTTTGGCCTCATCTGATAGGTATAATTTACCTGTTTTATATCCCACTTCTTTCCAAATGTTTGCTATTGTAAACAACACAGTGGTTTACATATATATACATATGTGTATCGCCTTTGTCTTTTTGATTAACTTTTTTTTAATGGAGGTGCTGGGGATTGAACCCAGGACCTCATGCATGCTAAGCATGTGCTCTACCCCTGCGCTATACCCTCCCCCTTTAGTTAACTTCTGATTAAAGCACAGTAGACATACAGGAAAGTGTGCATAATGGTACGTATGAAATATTTAAGTGAATTGTCACTAACACTACATGGCCAGAATCAGACGTTATCAGCAACCCCAGATTTCCCACATCAGAGTAACCACTATCTTGCATTTGAATAGTGTAGATTAATTTTCCCTGTTTTTGCATTTTTATATGAGGAGAATTACACAGTTAATATCTATATTCTTTTTGTCTGGCTTTTTAAAAAGTTCAGGTAAAATTCGCATAGCATAAAATGAACCATTTTGAAGCGAACAGTTCCATGGCATTTAGTACAGTCACAACCTCTGTCCAGATCCAAAACATTTCCATCCCCCTGAAGGGAAACCCCATTACTCGTTAAGCAGTCACTCCCCATCCCACCCTCCCGTCAGCCTCTGGCAACCACCAGTCTCCTTCCTGTCTCTATGGGTTTGCCTGTTCTGGGCCTTTCGTGTAAGTGTTGGCATACGGTATGTGGTCTTTTGTGTCTGGCTCCTTTCACTTACGATGTTTTTAAGGGTCATCCGTGCTGTAGCTTGAGTCAGTGCTTTATTCCCTTTTAGGGTGAAATCCTATGTACCTGACTTTTAGCCTTAATATTTTTATACCCTGAATTTTTACCTCCTCATCGTAAAAGAATATAAAATACTATGTCTTCCTTCAGTTATGACTTAGTTTTCTATTTGGATGGTTTTCTATTTATTCATTCATTTATTCAAAAAGCAAATATTTAGTGGGTGTCTCCTGTATGCCAGGCACTGTTCTAGGCACTGGAGACAAACCGTTGCCCTCATGGGGCTTTGTAACTTCTATTAAAATGTAGAGAATCTGTGTACAAACAGGTGAGATGTGCTCCTGGGGATTGAAATTCAGTGTGTTGTATGAGTAAGAAAAGCTACCCCTGGTATCGGCCTCTTGCCAGCTTTCATTGCATCGATCTCAGCTTCTAACCTCTAATTCTCTCCAATCTCAGGGAGAAGATAGCCTTTTTTACAAGACCAAGGATTAACGTACCTCCTCTGCCCGCCGACGATGTTTGATGCAGCGCTTTGTACACATGAAGTATTTATCTGCCCATTTTATTTTCATGAAGTTCTTAGACTAGCTAAATTTGTCTTTAAAATATTTGTGCAAAGCTATTAATATACACATTTTGTAAAAAAATAAAAACAAAACACATATATCTATACATATATATTTTATAATAGTGACGGCAACAGGGCTTGGTTTTTCCTTGTTGTGAAATTGACATCTCTGAAGACAGGTTATTTTATAAAAGATCAACTATCATGTTAAGAGTGTACAGTTTTTACGCTGTTTTATTTGACTTAAAGGCTGGAAGACAGAAACGAAGTGAGTTCAGGCAAATTCACTGTATTGTAATTTATTTATAGTACTTTTTTTTTCCTTGAAGGAAAATACCGACTTTAAGATATATTTTAAGACTGAAATTTTGTTCTTCAGTATTTGTCATGCAGTAGAATGGAACTTTGGGGCCGGTTTTGTTTCTCACACCTGAAATGCAAATGCTCTGTGCTAAACTCGTCACTCATGTCCGTTTCCCGTGTGTGCATTTATCATGTTCATTGTAAGTTTCACACCTTCTGTGTTCTGTTAAGATGCCACGCGCGGGGGTTCAGCCCCAGTCAGTGCCGTGTGCGCCTGGCAGACCTCGCTCTCCCACGATGGCCCCTCGTTTCCGTCTTGCCTTCCGTGCGCCTTTCCACGCGCACCGCGAGTCTGAAGCCGGTTCCCGAGCCCCCGTGGCCTGTCCACGGTGACCGGCCACATAGCCGTCCTCACCCGGCCTCGGGCAGCCCCGCCTTTTGAGTCCGCTGCATCTGATCCTGACCAACCAGGAAGGTGGTGGTGGAGCCCCGCTCTGCCGCTCTGTCCTGATGGAACCTGAGAGGAGACGTAGGAACACGCGATCTCAGTGGAGCAGTGGCCCCGCTGATGGACACAGTCACCACGTAGACCTGACCGCCTCTGAAGGCGCTCTTTTGAAGAAGCAGGCGTCTGTGGGTAACGCAACTTACCCAGCGAGTCACTCCCAGGAGAGTGTGTGCTTTAAATCAGAGCCCCCGCACCCCCCACTGGGGTCTACCCAGTATCTCTTCGGAAATCTTAGAACTAGTTCACGAGGGAAAAATTCTTATGTAATAAAACTGTACCATTCTTTTAAAGTACTAAATGGTATAGTTTGTCTAATCCATATTTATTACCTATGAAAAGCACTCCCCTGCACAAGGCCTGGGTTGAGGGGTGAGGTGAGCCACGCCAAATGCCAGAGAAGCCGGAGCCTTACTCCTGGCCTCCCCGCCCCCCCACCAGCAGTGCACCGCCCCCCCAATCAGCAGCCTCTCTTCTCGTTAATCTGTAACTGCCCGTTGTATCACCCGCCTTCCTTTCCACGTTTATTAAAATCAGTTTTGTAAAAGCATTTCAATGACACGCGACCAATCACGGACAGCGAAGTCATCAGTGGTGGTGAGACTGTAAACTTTGCTTTTCCACAGTTATCACCTCTCGCTATGTACTTCTGCCTCTAGTCTCGCTTTTTTTTTTTGCTGATTTCTCTGTATACATGCCCACAACAGAGGTAGAGACACACAAAACATCAGTCCTGGCCCGAAGTGCCCCGTGGGCGACAGCCTTGCTGAGCAGCTCAAGGGGGTGGCAGGACCTCCTGCCACCAGCTGTTGGAAGCTTTAAACTCGGAGGGAGAATTGGGGTGTGTGGGAGCACATCATTTACTCCAGACATGGGGGATCCCTGCCCACGGGATGCTCCCAGTGGGTTGCGGGTTGAGCCAGATCTGCCAGCCCCTCTGGAGCAGCGACATGGGAAAAACCACTCCACTAATACAGGAAGCCCTCAAGGGTTTTCATATAAATGTTACTGCCTAGTAGGTACAGATTTCCATTTGCAGTGGTGCTTCCCCACCCCAGAGTTAAGGAAAAAAAAAGAAATCCCACTTTGCCCCACCAGAAATAAATGCTGCCCCCGCTTTGGTATCAGCTCAAGGGGCGCTGTGTTTGCGCCTCTCCCCACGCTCCTGCCTCCCTCCCGCATCTGTCTGCCTCTGCACCTGAGTGGGACCACAGTCAGCAAGGAGAGAAAAGCCGGGCACATGAAGGACTGAAGGACGGAGAGGTGGTGGATTCTGTGCCAGCCCCGCAGGCAGGACACTGAGCACCTAATTGGCTTCTCTTTCTCGAGTTGATGTTGCAGCTTCCGACTAGTTAAGACCACCACCCCCTGGAAAATATCCCACCCAGCAGAAAAGTGAAATCCTAGCGTCTTAAGGGGTATTTTCTTATGTTGAAGTTTGTCCATAACCGTGCCTTGTGATACGAAAACTGCCGTGTTTTGTCAGCAGCGTTAGTCTGGAGATGATCCGAAGTCTGCCACCAGGGTCCTTTAGAAAACAGTCCGATGAGTAAAAGGGAATTTGGTCTTCACTTCATCTGATCACTGAATTGTCACCACTGAAATTGTACCTTCTGTTGTGGGAATAAGTTATAATCAGTATTCATCTCTATTTTTGTCACTGTTCTAATTGTCATTTGTATTGTTTGAAAATATTTCTTCTATAAAATTAAACTAACCTGCCTTAAGAACAGAATGAAAATGTGTGTGGTTTTTTAAAATGTAATTACAGAGACTTAAGTATATTAAAATGTATATAATTTTTTTCAACATGAGAATCGAGGCATGAGGACAGAATGGGACAAGGAACACATATGCAGCCCTCCCGTGTTCTGAAGCAGTTCCCGAACCTTCTTGGTCCAGCTGGAAACGTTTCAGTACATCTTGCTAAGAGAAAAAAACACACCCAGTATCCCCATTGCATCTTAACATGTAATAACTCCTCAGTAGCATTCGGTACCCATGGTCCACCTTTCCACTTGTCTCAAAGGTCATTCTTTTTTTTTAACTGAACAGAATCCAAATACCTGTTTCCTGAGATTTTTTTTTAGGTCTATGATGTTTTGGGGGGAGTGGAGGGACAGCTTTCTTGAGATAGAATTTACATTTCATTATATTCACCCATTTAAAGTATGTAATTCTGCAGTTTTTAGTATATTCAGAGTTTAGTATATTCATAGTGCAAAGGCTACAGTGCAGTTTAAAACATTCCCCTCACCCTAAAAAAAACCCTGTGCCTATTAACAGTCACCCCCCAATCCCACCCCTGACCTCCCAGCCCCTGGCCACCACTAATCTGTCTGTCTCTGTGGGTTTGCCTGTTTTGGACGTTTCCTAGAAATGGAATCTTACACTCTGTGGCCTTTGTGTTGGCTTCTTTCACTCAGCATCGTAGTCTCCAGGCTCATCCACGTAGTACGTGTGTCAGGACCTCACTCCTTTTTATGGCTGAATAATATTCCTTTGTGTGGATAGACCCCATTGTGTTTATCCATTCAGCAGTTGTGGACATCTGGGTTGGTTTCCACTTTTGGGCTAACAGAGATGATGCTACTGTGAACATTTGTGTACAAGGGTTTGTATGGACATATGGCTTTATTTCTCTTGAGTCTGTACCTAAAAGTGGAATTGCTAGGTCATATGGTAGCTCTGTGTTTAACCATTTGGAGAACTGCCAGACTTTTCCACAGCAGCTGCCCATTTTATATTCCCACCAGCAGTGTGCAAGGGCTTCAGTTTCTCCACATCCTGGCCAACACTTGTCATTTGGATCATAGCCATCCTCATAGGTGCAAAGTGGTGTCTCACTGTAGTTGTGTCTGTGTTTAATTCCCAGGATCCCTCCCTGCCCCCACCACACCCACTCCCTTGTAATCTGTTGAAGAAACAAGGCTACATGTTCTGAGTCTCCCACACTCTGGGTATAGTTTAACATGTTCCTCTGACCTTTATTTCCTATAAATAAATACTGGGAAAAAAAGCTGTTTTTGAATCTAAAAGCTTAATCTGATTCAAGTTCATTTTTTTCCTTTTTTGGGGGGGGGCGGGGCAGGATAGGGGGCAAGACATAGGTTCACCATCAGTCTCCAGGGAGACTTGGTTGCTTGGTGCCAGGGGTATTCACTAATGCTTGGTTGGTCATTGTTTTTAGGGTTTTAAATCAATAGTATTTTTTTAAGGATAAAGGGAAGATTGGATATCATATAATGACTCATTTGCTTTATCCCATGTTACACACATAAACCACCATTTCAGAATAACAGTCCCAACGCGACCACCGATACTACAATGACTGAAAACTGCTTGACATTTTTCTTTCAGTAACTTGAGCCCTTAAAGTCTATCACTAGGAATATGCAGTCAAATCACTGTGTTTGAAAGTAACTTGGAATATTTCCTTTCTGTGTGGCTAAGCTACCAGTTGGAAACACAGGTGTTTCACTTCATTTTGGATTTAAAATTTTATTTTATAATTGTGTGAAATAGCCACATGGTTCCAAAGACAAATCTACAAAATAAGGAATCTCCTTACAGGTCACCATTTAAGAAAGACTGGCTTTCCTTGCATAAGCAGCTACATGAGCACATACCCAGGAGTGCACACGTGTGCACGTATCTATACACGAATAAGGACACATCTGTGCTTGTCCTCACTCCCCTCTCTTAGGTAAACTGTGGCACACCATACACATTTTTCACCACCTGCTTTTTTCTCGTAAATATATCTGAGTTCACCAACATCTTTACTGGTTGCTGTAACAATCGACCACAAACTGAGTGGCTTAAAACATGAGAAATGTATTCTCTCACAATTCTAGAGACCAAAACTCTGAGATCAAGGAGTTGGCAGGGCTGCGCTCCCTCCGAAGGCTCTAGGGGAGGGCCCTTCCTGCCTCCTCCCGCTTCTGGGAGCCCCCTACAGTCGCTCCAACCTCTGCCCTCATCTTCAAGTTGCTGTCTCCTCCATTTCGCTTGTCTCCTAAAACACGTGTCATCTGGTTAACCCGAGATGATCTCATCTCAAGATCTTCAACTTTGCCTCTGCCAAAGCGCTTTTTTTTTCAGCCCCGAATAAGGTCATGTTCACAGGCTCCACGTGGACATATCTTTTGCAGGACCATCATTCAACCCACTACCATTGGCCCTCTGGCTCCCTCAAATTCACATCCGTCCCATGTGCAGAATGCATTCACCCGACCCCCACATCCCCCAGAGTGGCACATAGAGGCATTCTCCATTCCTTTTTGCCTTTGCACACTGCAGCAGTGGACGTACCATAGTTTATTCAGCCATCTCCTGGTGATGCTAGTCTTCCGCTATTCAAAACAATTCAGCAATGAAACCCCTTCTGCAGACCTCTTTTCATACTTTTGCCAGGGTTTCTAGGGGATAGATCCTTAGATGTGGTATCTCTGGGTCAAAGGCTAAATCCACATGGGATTTCGCTGGGTATGGCCACATTTCTCCCCTAGGGGGCGTACCATTTTGCGTTCTTGTTACTGAACCAAATTTGGGTCCGCTCGCCCATGCGCAGTAAAGCCAATCTACTGACACCAGGTATGGTGAAGGAAAGTGCAGCGTTTATTGCAAGGAGTCCACGTAACTAGCGCTTAAAAGACTCAAACTCCCTGAAGGCTTTAAGAGTAAGATTTTTAAAGACAGGGTGAGGGAGGGGGTTGTGGGGGGCACGGTCAGCTTGCGGACATTCTTCCAGTTGGTTGGTGGTGAGGTCATCAGGTGTCAACATTAACCTTCTGGTTCCAACCGGTCTGTGGTCTGCGTGCTGGTGGTCAGCATGCAGTTAACTTCTTACACCTGGTGGGGGCTTCAGTGTCTGCAAAACAGCTCAAAGGACATGGCTCAGAATATGACCTATAGCCCTTGAGGAAAAAAACAAAGGTCCTTGACTTTGTTTAATGGCTAAACTATTATTATTTTGGCTTGCTTGACTGTTTTCCTTTGTTTCTGCATTTTCTCACTTCTCTGATTAAATTTACTCTTTGGAACTCGGAGAAGGCCTAGACGGCCAAAGTTTTTCTACAGACAAGAGGCAGGCAGAGGACATAGTGGGGTGGGGGGCTGTCCTGGGAAGCCCCATAGGGTCCTGCTTGATTACATTCTCATCAGCAATGTATGTGACTGTCCCCACGACGTCACCAATCGAATGTTGTCACATTGTGAGTCTTGGCCATTTGCAGAGTGTGTGCTTTTCTTCTGAGCGAAGCTGCTTGAATTATGGAAGCTCGTTGGTGTGTTTTATTGTCTGTTGGGGCTGCCCCTCCTTCCTTTCTTCTTCCTCAGTGTTTGCTCGGCTATTCTTGCTTATTTGTTCTTCCAAATGGATTTTATAATCAATTTGTCTAGCTCCAGGGGGAAAAAAGAGTTGGAATCATTACCAGCATTGCATTTACAGATTGGGAGAACTGACATCTTTATATTATTCAGTCCTCTTATCCAAGAATATATTATGTATCTCCATTTGTTCAAGACTAATTTTGTGTCTTTTAGGAATGCTTTACAGTTTTACTCATTTATCTTTGGCATATTTCTTGATAGGCTTTGCCTAAAATAAAAATCCAGATAGAGACAGAAAGTAAGTATACATACTCTCAAAGCCAGATATCTTTTTTCAGGCTTTCACAAAAAAGCTAGTGTTTACCCATTAAATAACATGTTGGCTTTAGGACATGTTAGGTGAATTTAACACACACACACACACACACACACAATGTTAAGGATGAATCCATCATTTTCTATTTTCTTGAGTGTTTGTAACATGAATGTGTGTTGGAATTTTTCAAATTCCTTTTCTCCATCTACTGAACGAATCATATGCTTTTCCTTCTTAACTCTAAGAACATGATTGAGTATATTAATGGATTTCCTAATAGAAGACCACGCTTGCTTTTGTAAAATAAATCATGATATATAGATATTAGTGTGCTTTGGAGTTGGTTTGCTAGTGTTTTGATACACTGTAACTTTTTTTAGTGCAGTCTTTGCCGGGTTGAGGATCAGTGTTATACTCCATAAAACAAATGCGCAAGTTGTCTTCTTTTTCTTGGCTCAGAGAGGACGCGTTTGGGAGAATTCTGCCATGAAATCATCTGGATGTGCTTCATGCTTTTTTTCCACAGGGAAGCTTTAAAAACCGTTCTCTATTTCCTCTGTGGAAATTGATCTCTTTAGATTTGTCTCTTGTCAGTTTTGGCAAGTTATATTTTCCTTGCAAACGATCTATTTAATTTACATTTTCCAATTTGTTTGTAAAGAGCTGTATGGAAGACTGGTTTGTAATTGCCTTCATTTTGATCGTTCTTTCCCCCTTGTCATCCCCAATTTTTTCTACTTGTGTTTTCTCCCTTGTTGTTGTTGTTTTTTTTAAAAAAACGAGGTTAGTTACTGGGTTATTATTTTTTTTAACTTTTATTTTCTTTTATAAAAGAAAACCAGCTTTTGGTTTTACTTGTTGTACTATTTTTCTATTTTATAACTCATGAAATACTGTTTTATTTTTATTAATCCTTTGTTTTGTGTGTGTGTGTGTGTTACTTACTTGCCTTTTTTGGTTTTTTTCCCAGTCATTTTTAAAAAAATTTTTTATTGATTTATAATCATTTTACAATGTTGTGTCAAATTCCACTGTAGAGCACAATTTTTCAGTTATACACGATCATTTACGCGCCTTTTTTGTAG